CAAGGTGAAAAGTTTGGAGCAAAGCAATTCACTACTTGCATGTGTATTTGATTTCTTAGTTCAAAATTCTTTTTTTTTTTTTTTTTTTTGAGACGGAGTTTCACTCTTGTTACCCAGGCTGGAGTGCAATGGCGCAATCTCAGCTCACCACAACCTCCGCCTCCCGGGTTCAGGCAATTCTCCTGCCTCAGCCTCCTTAGTAGCTGGGATTACAGGCACGCACCACCATGCCCAGCTAATTTTTTGTATTTTTTTAGTAGAGACGGGGTTTCACCGTGTTGACCAGGATGGTCTCGATCTCTTGACCTCGTGATCCACCCGCCTCGGCCTCCCAAAGTGCTGGGATTACAGGCTTGAGCCACCGCGCCCGGCCTAGTTCAAAATTCTTGACCTTTATTTCCTCCCTCACCCACATACAGTCGACCCAATTGCACTAATGTCATTCAAAATAACTTCACAGTAAATTTCTACAAACTATGTAGCACACAGACAGATCTAATTCTCTGTTTAAAATTGTCTTAAAATTTTTCCCACTTTCCTTCATGGACGTTTTTTAATTCCAATTTTCATTCAACCTCTACCTAAGTTCAAGTGTGGGGTGGACAACTCCAGCAGATTCCTAGCTCTAATAACTCAGTTTCCATGCCTTAGCAAATAGCTAATAATGAATACCACAGCCACACTTTATCAAGATACCAATTCAAATTAAAGATACTCAACTTTCTTTTCTCTTTGTAGGCAGGACTCGTTCTGTCACTCAGGCTGGAGTGCAGTGGCCTGAGAATGGCTCACTACAACCTCCTCCTCCTAGACTCAAGCCATTGTCCTGCCTGAGTCTCCCAAGGAGCTGGGACCACAGACACACACCACCACACTCAGATAATTTTTAAATTTTATTTTTTGTAAAGTCTCACTATGTTGCGAAGGCTGGTCTCCAACTACTGGGCTCTAGTGATCCTCCCACCTTAGCCTCCCAAAGTGCTGGGATTAACTACAGTTATACAGATAATGAGGCACTGCGCTCACTTGGGAATTTTTTGTTTGTTTGTTTTGGTTTTTTTTTTGAGACAGACTGTGGCTCTGTTGCCCAGGCTGGAGTGTAGTGGCACAATCTGCAACCTCTGCCTCCCGGGTTGAAGCGATTCTTGCGCTTCAGCCCCTGGTTAGCTGGGACTACGAGTGCACGCGACCATGCCTGGCTAATTTTTTGTATTTTGGTAGAGACCAGGTTTCACTATGTTGTCCAGGCTGGTCTTGAACTCCTCAGGTCCCAAAGTTCTGGGATTACAGGCATGAGCCACCATGCCCAGCCCTAAAACACGTTTTCTAAATAGTCGTATACAAGCTCCATATTAATTGAGTCAACACTAATTTATTAAGTGCTAATTCTAGGCTCAGTATTACAATATGCAAAAGCAGTGAACAATATGTATTTTAAATAAGATAACCTGGAAAGATTGGAAAAATAAAGTTTGACTAACATTATGATTTTTCTGACATATATAATCAGTAAAGAAACCTATTTTTTTTTTCATACAAAGGCAATAGTATGGCTTGGTGAGGTGGCTCACGTCTGTAATCCCAGCACTTTGGGAGGCCGAGGCAGACAGATCACCTGAGGCCAGAAGTTCGAGACCAGCCTGACCAACATGGAGACCCCTGTCTCTACTAAAAATGCAAAATTAGCCAGGTGTGGTGGCACATGCCTGTAATCCTGTAATCCTAGCTACTCAGGAGGCTGAGGCGGGAGAATTTCTTGAACCCCGTAGGTATAGGTTGTAGTGAGCCAAGATCACACCATTACACTCCAAGATCACACCATTACACTCTAGTGTAGGCAACAAGAGTGAAACTCAGTCTCAAAAAAAAAAAAAAGAAATGCAATAGTATTACATAGTTTTGTTATCACTTTTGAATCGTCATTAGTAGATAGCAAAATTTTCATTATGCTGCTCAGCAGCAGTGCTTTATTTCATTTATTATTGGATTATTTTTGCATTTGTGAAAAGAGCCACATATATATTAGTATATACAAAGGTATTCTTCACATTCTGAAAAGATATATTGCACAAGAGAAAATAAGATAGCAGTTCAAATATACCTGCTTCATGAAAAATGCCAAATACCTCCTGTACCTAATAACCCTAAGGATTTAAATAGAATGTTGCCACTGGGGCTGGTGGCTCACACCTGTAATCCCAGGGCTTTGGGAGACTGGGGCAGGCAGAGGCTTGAGTTCAAGACAAGCTTGGGCAACATAGCAAAACCTCGACTCTACAAAAAAGAAGAAAAAATTAACCAGGCATGGTGGCGTGCCCATGTAGTCCTTGCTAATTGCCAGGCTAATGTGGGTGGATCACTTGAGCCCAGGGGCTCAAGACTGTAGTAAACTATGTATTAGTGCAGTGGTCCCTAACCTTTTGAGCACCAGGGGCCCATTTCATGGAAGACAATTTTTCCATGAACATGGGGCTAGGGAGAGAGGTTTTGGGATGACTCAAGTGCATTACACTTATTAGGTACTTTATTTCTATTATTATTACATTATAATATATAATAAAGTAATCATACAACTCACCATAATGTAGAATCAGCAGGAGCCCTGAGCTTGTTTTCCTACTACTAGGTGGTCCCATTGGGGGGGACAGGAGACAGTGACAGATCATCAAGCATCAGATTCAGGAGAGCGCAACCTACATCCCTCACATGTACAGTTCACAATAGGGTTTGCAATCCTATTAGAATCTAATGCCACTGCTGATCTTACAGGAGGCAGAGCTGAGGTGGTAATGTTAGCAGTGGGCAGTGGCTATAAATATAGATGAAGCTTCACTTCCTCACCTGCCGCTCACCTCCTGCCATGAGGTCAGGTTCCTACTAGTCCATGGCCGAGGGGTTAGGGACCCCCGTGTTAGTGCCCTCTAACCCGGGCAACACAGACAGACTCATCTCCAAAACAAACAAATAAAACTTCCCTAGGGAAAAATACTAAACAGAAAGTTGCTAGCAAAATATTTAAAATACAGGAATTATTTGCCTTTTTTTTTTTTTTTTTTTTTTTTTTTTGAGAAGGAGTTTTGCTTTTGTTGCCCAGACTCCCGAGTAGCTGTGATTACAGGCATGTGCCACCACCCCCGGCTAATTTTGTATTTTTAGTAGAGATGGGGTTTTTTCATCATGTTAGCCAGGATGGTCTTGAACTCCCAGCCTCAGGTCATCTGCGTGCCTCAGCTTCCCAAACTGCTGGGATTACAGGCGTGAGCCACTGCACCCGGCCTATATTTACCTTCTTTTTTTTTTTTTCCTTTTAAAAAATATTTTCTTTCTCTTTTTAAGACGGGGTTTCACCATGTTAGTCAGGCTGGTCTTGAACTCCTGACCTCAGGTGATCTGCCCGCCTTGGCCTCCAAAGTGCTTGGATTACAGGCGTGACCCACCACACCCAGCTATTTGCCTTCTTAAGAAAAAAAAAACAAAACTATATACGACAGTTCTTTATATCACTGTGATTAATGTTATATTAGAAAAGGTTTTAAAGACAGGAAAAAGAAATCATTTCCAATCCCACCAATAAGCCTAGTTACCTTGCTCTCCTTTGGATACTCTCTGTAAGGGAAGCCAGCTGCTTCATCATGAGGACATACTCATTCCTTGCTACTTAATAAACAATTCAGAAATAGCTAACAGATACAGTTCAATAAATCTGTAACAACCATCAGTGCCAGATATTGGGAACCAATTGTGTGCTTTATTTCATCAAATGTACAAGGTACTATGTATAGGCCAGACACAAAAGAACAAAACAAAATAAAACTATACTGTTTGAGAAATCTATAACTGGCAGGAGAAAGGCGGAGAGCAAGAAAATTATTACCACAAAGCCAGCATGGGAGATTTATAAGAGAATCTAGTTTATTTCATTTTTAATTTTTTTAAGTGATGTGGGTGGGGTCTTGCTATGTTGCTCAGGCTGGAGTGCAGTGGCTGGCTATGGATTCACAGGAGCCATCATAGTGCACGGTGACCTTGAACTACTGGCCTCAACCTCTGGAGGTGATAAAAGACACTGTAGCTTCCTCCTTGCTCTCTTTTCATTCACTCACTCTGGGGGAAACCAAGCTGCCGTATTATGAAAACATTTAAGATGAGGAAGAACTGAGGCCTCCAGCCAACAGCCATCAAAGAACGAAGTCCTCCTGCAAGTGAGCTTGGAAGTGGGCCCTCCAGCTGCATCACTCTTCCCCAGTCAAGTTTTCAGATGATTGCATCCTCATACGAGCCTATGCCAGAAGCACTGCTTGGTTTCCTAACTCACTAAAACTGCAGGAGATAATACCTGTTTGTTATTCAAAGATGCTGAACAGCGACAGATAACGAATACAGGTCTTATCAGTTAGTTCCTTAAATACTATTTATAAAACATAAACCAGATAACACATCTCTGTGTAAAATACTTCAAAGCCTTCATGTTACTCCTGGGCTAAAATCCGCAGTTTCTCACTATGGCCTACAAAATAATTCACCTTTTTACCCCCACCTGGTTCAATTAAGTATCTTCTTAATTTCAAATAATTCTGCTTTCTTAACCCAAGACCTTTTTTCTTGCTGTTTTCTCTGCTTAGGAATTCTACTCCCTGCTTATCCTCTGCATACTTAGTTCCTTTTTGTCACTCCTTTCTCAGCTCAAATGTAAAGGCATTCCCTGATAACCCACGCTGCTATCTTCTTTTTTGAGATGGAGTTTCACTTTCGTCATGCAGTGGCATGATCGGGGCTCACTGGGTTAAAGCAATTCTCCTGCCTCAGCCTCCCTAGTAGCTGGGACCACAGGCACCTGTCACCACCCCTGGCTAATTTTTGCATTTTTAGTAGAGGCCTCACACACACACACACAAAATAAATGAATAAATAAAATAAAGGTCACTCTGGCTATTGAAAGTGTATAAGTATCAGCTCTGGATAACAAGCTTCAAAACAATCTATAAATAGGAAACACTTACCCACTTAGCAATTGGACACCCATGAGAGCTTTTCCCTTCTTTGCCGGTGTACACTACTATTTCTATCCTTATTGCATTTCCTTTTTCACCATACCTGAGTATAAAACACAGTGAAGGGAATGTACTAATTAATTACAATGTGTATTTGAAGGCTTCAGCTTTAAACATGTTAATGTGTTTAAGATCTAGATGTACAGAAGTTCAAAAATCAAACACTCCTCATGATTTACTTTTGTTAAACATTTGCTTTTGTGTGGCAGGTATTTTGAGCTGTTATCCAGTCCTACTCACTTATCCTTAAAGATCACTCTTTAAAAACAGGCTGACTGCAAGACAAGCAATGGGGATGTCGGGTATGCAGTGTCAAGGGTGGTAATTTGACCTATTTCGACCATTATACAATATAAAAAGTCCTTCTGAGTTTATCAAAGACAATTAGCCATGCTTTGTGGGTGCTCTTTTATATGCCCAACAGCTTGTATGATGGGTGACTCAGGAGGAACAGCAGGACACCCCTCCTTTGTTGGGCCCTAAGAAACATCCAACTCATACTCCTGAACATTTTTCAATCATGTCATTTGTTCCCACAGATGATTTTTCTGCATTGAGTCAGATCCACAGTAAGAATGATTTTAACAGGGAAGCGTATTTCCTCACCTATTCTCCATGATTTCCCTGACAGCAGCAACACTGGGTCCTGCCCCAAGGTGTGTATAATATGGGCCTTTGTCTTTTTGTATTACACGATCTGTGGAAGGAATAAGATTATTAGACCCAAAGCTTTACAGAATTGCATAGGGGACAGGAGAAGCTATTTTTATATTTTTTGTTCCCCCTCAATTCAGAACCATGAATCTTGACAAGGTTTTGGTAAGCTTTGATAATTAATGTCAAGGACAACAGGCCATGGAATTTAGCTTTTAATGTTCCTTTCTTCCTGCCCCTAACGAATTCTTTCTTCCTCTGAAAGTCAGAGGAGAAAAAAACTATTTTAAGATGTGGGTCATATGTATACTCCTATCTCCTGCTTAAAAAAAACTGTATTAATTGAGATATAATGTTAAAAGTTATCCAAGAGCAATAATTCTTAAAGGTTGGCCTCAGAATTCTATTAAAATTGAGCAGAGCAATTTCATTGCAGACAATTTATTCTGTTATACAATTATCAGAAAGAGAGCAAAACACTCTTAACATCTGTCAATAACATGTAGTTTAAATAAATCATGGGATGTTTATATAGTGGATTACAATAAATCTACTGAAACAGCACTTACAAAATATTTAAAAATCGACAATATAATTACATTTAAAAACCAAGTTGAAAAATTGTTTTAAATTTTTGTAAAAATGGAAACAAAACTAAAATCAATAATCTTTTACATAGAAAACCATAACAAAAGTTTTATCTTCAGAGAATGAGAGTATGGGAAGATGTTTGTGTCATATTTCTATACCACTGGAATTTTTGTGAGGATTTAATTTTGTGTTTCTTTAAATATGACTTTTTTTTTTTTTTCCCCCGAGACGGAGTCTTGCTCTGTGGCCCAGGTTGGAGTGAAGTGGCATGATCTCAGCTCCCTGCAACCTCTGCCTCCTGGGTCCCGGTTTAAGCAATTCTGCCTCAGCCTCCTGAGTAGCTGGGATTACAGGCACACATCACCATGCCCAGCTAATTTTTACTGTGGTACACTACTATTTCTATCCTTATTCCATTTCTTTTTGACCTTGCCTGAGTATAAAACACAGTGAAGGGAATGCACTAATTAATTTTTTAGTATTTTTTTAGTACAGACGGAGTTTCACCAGGTTGGCCAGATTGGTCTTGAACGCCTGACCTCGTGATCCGCCCACCTCGGCCTCCCAAAGTGCAAGGATTATAGTCCTGAGCCACCGCGCCCAGCCTAAGAAAGTTTTTTTTAACTTGGACCCTTAGACTCATGTGTAACAAGAATTACTGGGTAATTTCTGCATTTCATGAATTTCTAGCTATGGTATACCTACACCAAAAAGTCATTTTGATTAGATGTCAAATACTAGCAGAATTACTTCTGTAGCTTCTTTCTAATTTTTTTTTTTTTGAGACGGAGTTTTGCTCTTGTTGTTCAGGCTGGAAAGCAGTGTCACCACCTTGACTCACTGAAACCTTCGCCTCCAGGGTTCAAGTGATTCTCCTGTCTTAGCCTCCCAAGAAGCTGGGATTACAGGCATGTGCCACCACGCTGGCTAATTTTGTACTTTTAGTAGAGACTGGAGCAATCTCGGCTCACCACAGTCTCTGCCTCCCAGGTTCAAGCGATTCTCTTGCCTCAGCCTCCCGAGTAGCTGGGACTGCAGGCGCGCGCCACCACACCCAGCTCATTTTGTATTTTTAGTAGAGATGGGGTTTCTCCATGTTGGCCAGGCTGGTCTGGAACTCCTGACCTCAGGTGATCCGCCCACCTCAGCATCCCAAAAGTGCTGGGATTACAGGTGTGAGTCACCATGCCCAGCCTACTTCTGTGGCTTCTTAAGAAATATACACTTGATAGATTTTATCTTATTCTTAGTGATCTACAGCAGTGAATTTGAACCCAGGGAATGTTGCCGCTAAGGAGACTCTTGGAAATACCTGGAGACATTTTTGGTGTGACAATTCAGCAGTTATGTGTGTGCACTACTACTGGCATCTAGTGGATAGAGGTTAGGGGTGCTGCTAAACATTCCATAATGCACAAGACAGCTCCTCACAACAAAGAATTATGAAGGATAAAATACCAGTAGTGCTTAGTTTGAAGAATCCTAATCTAGTGAGGAATTACTCTATTTTGCTAGAACATAATTCTGCCATGGAAATTCTTTACCCTCAAATATGATAGTACTACTTGGGATGATTTGGTAAAAGTGACTGGGTAGGTCACTTTTTGTTTCTCTGTCTTTAAGTGCCTTTTTCTACACAATGAACACAATAAATTCACATGTAGTGATTTGCTAAAGACATGTTAGTGGCAGTAAATAAAATGGCTAAGTCCATTGCAGGTACTTATTCAACTTTGAATGCCTGGCTATCTATTCCTAAATGCTGTGACTAGTTATTTTGCATTAAAAAAAAAGGGTCTTCAAACTAGAAAATCATCCTTTTAGAACCACGCACACAGAAAAAGTAGTCTAGCTCAGGTATATAAACATTAATGGCACGTATTTGTTGAACTAGAGGCCTTATTTCCATTTGTAAGGATATTCAGAAAAGTGTTCTCCCTTTCATAATTCAGATTTATTAAGCAACATTGTGTAAGTTTTAAGGATAGGCTGTGGGGTTGAAGACTGCTGTCTCTAAGTCCCAGTTCAGTTACTGGATAGTTATGAAAGTCTCTGTGCTTCAGCTTCTGTATTTGCATAACAGGGATAATAAGCCCCTCCCTCTGAAGAGCTGCTGTGAACATAACAAGTCAAGGGCAAGGCACAGTATCAAACTTGTAGTAAGGGCTCCAGAATGGAAGCCAGTAACAGGATTACATCCTTCTCTCTTTAATTCAAGAATCTTATTCTCCCAATTCAACTCCACTCAGACAACATTGTCACTCTTTCCAAACTGTGAAATTCTTCTCATAGCAGCCTATCCTTGATAACTGGCACATCGTAGTTTGTCAAAACTGTGTTAGCTGGGGTGGTGGCTCACGCCTGTAATCCCAACACATGAAGAAGCCAAGGCTCAAGGATCACTGAGACCAAGAGTTTGAGACTAGTCTGGGTAACAAAGTGAGACCCCATATCCACAAACAAACAAAATAAACAAAAACAAAAACCTAAAAAACACTGTGTATTGAATGAGCAGAAAAATGGAAGGATATTATTTATGAAAAACAGTGTACTTTGGAAAAACAAGAATCAAATATTATCACTACATTACACTATTTTTTCTTTGAGATGGAGTGTCACTCTGTCGCCAGGCTGAAGTACTGTGGCACAATCTTGGCTCACTGCAACCTCCGTCTCCCAGGTTCAAGCCATTCTCCTGCCTCAGCCTCTTGAGAAACTGGGATTATAGGCACCCACCACCACGCCTGGCTATTTTTTGTATTTTTAGTAGAGACAGCATTTCACCATGTTGGCCAGGCTGGTTTCGAACTCCTGACCTCAGGTGATCCACCCGCCTCAGCCTCCCAAAGTGCTGGGATTACAGGCATGAGCCACTGCACCCAGCCACACTACACTATATTTTCTATCGGCATGATATACTTATCCTCCCTAACAATTCATCCTGGAATGTAATATTGAACCACCTATTTCCATTAAAAATATCTCTGTGCCTCAGTATAACAAAGAATTATGAAGGCAAGTATTGAGTCTTTATGATTTGGAGCCATATTTAAAATAAGACTTTCAATAACTAAACCTATTTGGATGAAGTTCAAAACAGATTTTTTTTTTACAAAATTTATTCTATCACACTTGTATAATGATAGACAAAATAATGGGGCTTCAAGCAGCCTAATGAATCTTAATGACACAATCTATTTAATTTCCCTATTTTTTTACAGGTATATTAGAGTTGACAGGTTTCTTTAGAAGTATGCTTACCTGATATTTGACCATAGACAGTAACTAATCAGTACAGTATAGCATTCAAATTAAGCTTTCACATGTTTCAAACAGAGAAAATTTCTCATATGATCTACCCGAGAATCTTTCCCCAGTAATATTTTCTCAGGGCTTTTAACACACTAATAAAACTAAATGTTTCAGAATTTTCTCTTTCAATGACTCCTAAGGCACAAAAATGTCTAAATACATTGGTTAGCAATCAGCCCATGAGTCAGGTATTAGCACATGACTCATGTTAGCCCACGGGTTAGTCTTTGATTTTTTGAAATAGGAAATCAGTATTTATCAAACAAATTTGTTAAAAATGTTGAAACTCGGCCAGGCGCAGTGGCTCACACCTGTAATCCCAGCACTTTGGGAGGCTGAGGTGGGTGGATCACCTGAGGTCGGGGGCTCAAGACCAGCCTCGCCAACATGGTGAAACCCTGTCTCTACTAAAAATACAAAAATTAGCTGGGCATGGTGGCATATGCCCATAACCCCAGCTACTCAAGAAACTGAGGCAGGAGAGTTGCTTGAACTGGGAGACAGAGGTTGCAGTGAGCCGAGATTGCACCACCGCACTCCAGCCTGGTGACAGAGTGAGACTCCATCCCCAAAAAAAAAAACAACAAAGTTAAAACTCAAAAAGGCTTATAAATTCAAATGGCCAAGTTTATGGAATTTCTTTATACATAGATATATTTTGTATTGCAGAGAAATGGAAAGATATTATTTCAGAATATCAACTGCTCTTTGGACAAAGAAGACAGTAATGGATAGAACACAAAAGCACTGGATACTGAGAAAGGCATAAATCAGCTTCAGTTCTAGGGTAGGACAGCAACTGCCACCAAAATATTTTATAACAGTTAAGTTGTACATATGTTTTACATTCTCCATATGTATCTTCTAACTCACACACACAAAAATATAATGCAAGGATTGTAGGTTGACATTTTTTTAATATAGGAAGAATAAACAAACTGTAATAAATAATTAAGGTGATTCTTTTTTTTTTTTGAGATAGGGTCTTGCTCTGTTGCCCAATCTGGAGGGCAGTGGTATAATCTCAGCTCATTGCAACCTCCACCTTCCAGGTTCAAGCAATTCTCCTGCCTCAGCCACCCGAGTAGCTGGGATTATAGGTGTGTACCACCAAGCCCAACTACATTTTT